AGAAAAAACATACAAAAATATAACAAAATATACAGTAGTTGTTTAGTGCAGGACGTTTAGAGAATTGAGAAATCTAGTTCTCAGTTGGTACATATGATACACTGTCCTGGCTATTATAATACAATCATCATATTCATTTGGGGCAAAAATATTTTCAATTACATTTAGGTCACTTCCGCCTAAGTAAGGTCGTATAGGATTTCTAGTTGTTTCCAGCACATCACAAAACTTAATAAAATGTAACAATGATTCATGCGAATTACACATTGGGCATACCCTATTCACATTTGGCTCGGTATGACGACCAACACCTTCACCAACCAGTAGTCTCACCATAAGTTTACATTTGAATATCATTTCAGGTTTGTATTTACATAGCTGGTACCAGACTATTGGAGTACGAGAAGTTACTACTTCTCTATAATGTTTGATTTTATTATATGTCATACATTGAAAACGCCATCTTTGCAGAGACTTTGTAAGAACAGAACTTTTCACTATCTTTTTCCAGTGCCACTTGGATGGAAATGTGTTATTAGAAATATAGCTATCCATTCTTCCTATAAGATCATATTGCATTCCAAGTTGTATAATTTCCCTTATTGGTGATGAAACTGTTACAGCACATTTATCTACGAAGAAGCTATATAGTATAGCATACCATCTAAAGATACTTAACTTCTTACAAATACCAACACTAGTATTAAAGATGTGCCAGAAATACATGAGCTTCCTGATTGCAATAGTTTCGCTTATACCTGTCCAACCAAGTTGAGCAATCGCGGCACAATCAGTTGTGTTCTTTGGAAGAGATTGAATTGACTTGGCCGAATTGGCATGCACCTTTTCCAAAGTTTTAATATTTGATACATTATAATTTAATACCTCGACACCATATAGCATGGTAGGAATTGAAACAGTCCAATATAAATTAGAAGCAGGTAAGGGATTTACGCTACACTTTTCGGGGGTGACACAGTCTACAGTGGCATAGAAATTGCGCCTTGCCCTAGATGTTACATTGTCTAAGTGATAGGCTATATCCCTCTGTGTAACTGGTAACCCAAGATGAACAAGGTCTTTGTTTATCGGAATCTTAGCGGATCCGAAATCAAAAGGTTGTACATCTTTAAAACTACTTCTAGTAAAGTGAACTGCTGCACATTTCCCTGGATGGATCTCAAATCTCCATCTATTTGCATAATTATAAAGAATGTGCAGCATTTCTTGCATGCTATGTCTGAACATTGATACCAGTATGGTGTCATCTGCGTACGATGGAGCAACACAGTTTATCCCCCGTACCTGACATCCATGTCCAGAGCTCTCTAATTCTAATAACAAAGGGTTCATGAATCTTACATACAATTCCATAGAAAGGACCCCACCTTGGTGGACCCCTTGTTGAACATAGAATAAATTACTTAATATACCATTGACCTTAACACAGCAACGATATCCTACATATGTCTCATAGATAATTTTCCACAATTTTCCGTTGATACCCTGATTATATAACAAAAACATCAAACCATTTGTAAAAACCGTATCAAATGCCTTTTTCACGTCAATTGCCAAAACATAGGCATCTGAGCCATTTTCAAGTTGATGGGCAACTGTTTCCCTAAGGACAAGGGAGGTGTCAATACAAGATGACCCTGACTGTGCTGCATATTGAAGTTTTGACCTATTAAAATGATCACAACATTTGCTACGGTTTAAAATCAACCTATCTAATATCTTACTATATGTACTCATTAGAGTTATTCCCCGGTGGTTATCTTTATCAAGAACATCCTTATTACCACCTTTATACAGTGTTATCATAACTCCTACTTTTAAACTACTTGGTACATGTTCATACTTAAAAATAGCATTAAAAATCGCAGTTAAAAGATTAATAAGTGCCATGCCACCATATTTAAGATGCTCAGCTGAAACACCGTCCATACCACTAGCACGTCTGTTATTCAATGACGTAATCGCTTTCAAGAGTTCTTCATTGTCAAAATTAACATCAAAAGAGCCATCATTGTTGTTTTGGTATTCTTTTATCATAATATTTACTCGAGAATCAATATAATCTTTAAAGTCGGAATCAAAATTAACATTACATTTTGGGGTAAACAGTTTCTCAAAATAATTAGCCCATTCATTTCTAATATCACCAGGATCTTGTAGCACAGTCCCATCATCAGCTCTAATATGTATCGATTGTTTACAATCCCGTTTATGTCTGTTAGCTAAATACCAATAATGTCATCCACTCTCATCTTTGCATATTGCACAAGGAGCTATTAAAATTACAAGACCAACTTTATATTTTTTCAATTTGGTCTATGATTTTAATCCTTTGGATAATCTCTTCTTTAATTCTGAGTTGACAAGCTATGGAGATATTTTTGCACAGAAAGTAATGGTTTCTTGTCTTGAAGTGATTTTGTGCTACTTTTCTATGCTGCATCTATAGGCAATGGTAAGGATGTAAGAGTCGATGACATCACTTCCTGAATGAAATCTTAAAAGATGGCAGCTAACTGGAAATGAGTACTTCACTTAAAAATGATCAATATTGACCATATAAAGCAGAAAGTATTAAAAAAAACTATTTAGCAGTGCCGTTATAGATCAATTATATACTTATTATGGATCTGATATTTTTAATAGAAGTTGCTAGATTGCTAGAAAGTTTGAAATCCCCTTTAAGGAAATTTATACAAAATATAAAAAATGCTATAGGAGAACACCAGTCATAATCAAAACATGCAGTCCAACTCTTCGCAAACCATTATGGTCATAAGAAAAAATGTCTCGTGCCAATCCCCTCCCCCACCTTTCAAGTAATATTATCGAGATCCGAGACCACGATACCGATGGAAATAGACACATGGAGAAACATTGATGAAGTAGCTACAGATAGCATAGATCGAAAATTAGGAACCTTGTCAACCAATTTTACTCCATTTTTACCTTCAATTTATGCAAATCACCAACTCGGTCTGATAATACATCATATGGTTTTCTATATGGTTCTAGTCGTTCATTAAAGAAAAAACACAAATTATTTGTTGCTTTTCATTGAATTTATTTTAATCCTTATCAGTACAATTAAAAGCGAGAACATCTAAAAGTTTGGACCCAAATACGAAATAAACATATCATGACACCTATCAGAACATGTCATTTGTTACAGAGGCCGATCTCTAGACGCCGACCACAGTCACAAAAATTGATCAATATGTCACAACTTTTGGTGGTGTCATAAAAAGTTATGTAGACACACCGAAACCAAGGCAAAGTTTGAGGCATGAATTTTCAACTTATTTGTACCTTGTATTACACATCATTCTATCATGTAGCATATACTATAAGATGATGCTTCAAAAATGATGTGTGCTCAAATAATCATGAAGTGAGATTCTTCCCTTAGAAATAATAGCAAATGCTACTTCGATTTCAAAACATTTCGACAGTCTTGATTACCCCCCCCCTATCACACCAAACTAGTTCTTACCCGTTCTTGCCAGTCCTCCGAAAAAGTCGTAAAACCGCGGGCTCAACCTGGCTGTGGTCGGGAAATATGTCCAAAATAATTAGCTACTTCGTTCATAAACAGTCTTCAATACGTCCATCTCATTCGCAGTTCGTTCAGGTCGCACCAGGTCGGTGTGCAACGTTGTATAACGCGTCCCTTAGTCTAGAAGGTTATCATGACCTGATTACAGAACGGTATGGTCGCCATCGAATTTTGAATCGATTCAAAATTCTAAAATCACCTTCCCGTCTGAGAACGTCCATGAAGTTCGTAAATAGACCTTAGAAAGTTGCAGCTACGTTCATTCCGTTCGCACACAGTTTAAAACCAGTTTTGAAGAACGCAATGGCAACTTGTTTGGTGTGATAGCTATATTTTAGATCTTATATTTTTGCTAACTCGTTCATAAGCAGTCTCAAATACGTTCTTAATCAGTTTAAACCCGTTTGCAATTAGTTCTACCTCGTTCTCAATACATCCTCAGACAGTTAAACTCGTTGTTAAAACGTCCCTAGTAGGATTGAAGTACGACGGTTCCGTTTGTAGTACGTCCAGCTCGCCGTTAGTACGTTGTCACTCATTCTAATTGTAGAACGTATCGACCACGAGAACATTTTGAGCATGTCCTAAGTTCTTAGGGACCTACCCATTCGAGTACGTTCGATGAAGTTTGTAATACCCCAAACGGTTCTAGGTACGTCCAGTCCGTTCGTACACAGTTGAAGCCCGTTTTCGAGAACGTAGTGAAAACTAGTTTGGTGTGATAATAGGGTACCAATATGACACCAAACTAGTTCTCACTACGTTCTCGAAAACGGGCTTAAACTGTGCACGAACGGATTTGACGCACTAAGAACCCACTAAGAACCGTTTGGGATCTGTTTACAAACTTTATGAAACTACTAGAACGAGTAGGTCCTCCAGCACTTAGAGCATGCTAAAACAATTCTGGTGATCGTCAAAACGTTGCCGAATCGGTTTCAAACTGTGTGCGAACTGAATGAACGTAGCTATAACGTTCTACGGTCTGTTTACGAACTTCATGAACTTTCCCGGACGGGGAATGTGATTTAGAATTTTGAATCGATTCAAAATTCGATGGCGACCATACCGTTCTGTAATCAGGTCATGATGACCTTCTAGACTAAGGGCCGGTTTATACTACGTTGCACACCGACGTGGTGCGACCTGAACGAACTGCGAATGAGATGGACGTATTGAGGACTGTTTATGAACGAAGTAGCTAATTATTTTAGACATATATCCCGACCGCAGCCAGATTGAGCCCGTTTTACGACATTTTCTTAGGACTGGCAAGAACGGGTAAGAACTAGTTTGGTGTGATAGGGGGGTTAGAAGCATGTCTTGATTAGAAGCATGTCTTGATGAAATATGTATATACAGTCAGCATCATCTATTATCAATGATAGATAATGTAATTAAACAACAATGTATAAAATATTGGAAATTAATTGGAGACACCAAGTAAAGTATTAAATAAAATATACACTAAGACAATAAGTTTCCCCCACATTCTAGTAGAGTTGAAACAATTTCACGTTACACAGTGTGCCAACTTTGAAAAATATGTGAAATCCATCAATATGGAATTGTTCAAATCATGTCTTGTTTCAGATACATTGGCCAAGAACAATGGACATTGAACGTCAGATAATATAATTGGAAGTTTAATAAAGTTATTTTAAGTTAATTTTTATACTCCTCCCAATTTATAAGACTAGACAGAAGTGCAATTACCATTTTCTGGTTTTGCTTGTAGATCATTCATCTTTATGACATTAGAACTGTCTTGATTTTCCTGGACAACCATGTACTTATTTTGTGTGTGGTCCTGTCGTGAGCTTACGCACCCGGAGCAAAATATTTGCTTAAATACGGACCTATACTTTGCGTTAATGTCCGGAGAGCGAATGCTGTAAACGATAGGATCGAGGATGAAATTGATATATGGAAAATAGGTTATGAAATTGTTATAGACACTAATTATGTTTTGATCAAAATGGGCACTCCTGTAGACCTTTACTGCAATGTAGGGCACTCCTGTTGAAACTAATATAACAAGTAGAATTAAAATCGTTTTAAAAGCCTGCTTGTCTTTAACTGGATTGCGTACAGAGTCTTCGTTTTTTCGTTTACTTGACCTATAAGATGCAGTTCTCACGAACAAGTCTCGCGAGAGGCTGAGATAAAGACATACGACGATCACCAATATTAATGCCTTGCCTCCTGCCCAAATGTATTTCCAGTTCGCACAAAATGTATAGGCGCCTTTTGTCATACATTCAATAGGCGTGACTGATGTCGGAATATGCAACTCAGTACCGTATGTCGTGTTACCCATTGATGCGTTCTGCAACATTGTATCCATTTCGTATGAGCCTCCAACACTAGCAAGCTGTCTTGAGAGACGATAACACCTTTGTTTCACATGGTCACATACGATGGTGGGTAGGGTAAAACAGAGCGATATCAACCAGCAAAGCACTATATACAGCGCCACCTTTTTTGTACTTTCAAAGAGAGGTTTGAATGAATTTGGTTTAGTGATGCAGATGAACCGCATTATGGCGAAGACGAGCAGTGTAACGGCTGACGTGAAGAAAAACAAACTGAAACATGTCCCTCCAATTTTGAAGAGCATATTGCATGTTTCTATCGCAACGTTCCAATGTGTCCCAGCTCTGAATGCAACATCGCCGACATAAATCGCAAGAGTTCCGAGGATATCGCAAATTGCTAAATTTACGAACAACTTCGTGAATGGTGTCTGCTTTGGTAGAAAGATGACGATCAACATTGTAGCGAAGTTGGCAATTATAGCAGTCGCACATAGAATTGTCGATAATATTGTGAATGTGATAATAGACGTATCCGACTCTAATTTAAACATATCGAAATTGAAGGAGAAATTCCCATCACTACCGTTTGTTACGTTTCCCATCAAGGCAAAATTAAATGAATCCATTGTCATTAATATATTCACTTCTAGCACTTTACACTTACTTATAATAGTTTATTTACTAATAATTCCTCTTTTATCTGTCTGCAGTCCTTATAATATGTCGAGTTTATTTCGATGCCGGATATCCAACTATTAAATCAGGTGTAAATTTTAATTTCCGATCAATAAAATCAAGGAACGCAGAACGGTTTGTGGTTATTCAAGTCTGCCAAAGAGTATTAACTCGACAAACGTTCGCTGTCAGCAACAATCTCAAGGGATCACTAAATTTTGATAAGATTCCTTATACACGTTCTGGGCTTCCTTTAGGTAATCTGTTATTTCCATGAGTTTGAAAGAACGATGTGACTGTATAATCCTGTCCTTGAATACAAGTCATCACTGACAATTGAAGTCTCCTAGCTGTATGCCACCTTCCTTCAGTTCAGTCCAATACTGCTTTCCACATTTAACATTACGTAATCAATTCAAAAGCTTTTGTAATTAATATACTTTACTGAAAATACGTTTCGGGCCAATTCTTCTTGGCTTTCGTTTGAAGTTGTCGCCACCGGATGCTTCCATAGTCGACCTAGAGTTCTTTATGGAAAGTAGTATCGACAACCAGTCTTGTTCTGTGGATCTTATTTCAGCAAAGACCGAATATGAAAATAAAGAAAACATCGATCAAGCAAAAATTTAGAAAATGGCATGTTTGTGTTTCACTAAGATAAATATCCTAGGTATCTGTGAGTATTGGAGACAGGGTTTTCAAAATTGCTCGCAGTATCACTGACATAGATACCAACGTTTTTTCAGCTCGCTCGAACATATTACCTCCCCTTTCGAGTGGTTAGATTATTTGAAATTGTAAGTTCTCCAAAATAATAAACGCAGATATTAAAATTTACAAATAAACACAAAGTGTCAGAACCTTCAGTTTTGTTTCAAAAAGGATGAACTTTAAACTAGATTGACAAGCAATAATAATAGCTAAAACAATACTTCGAGTATCTCAAAAATCGTACACAAATGAGACGGGAAAAGTTCTCTTTTCCTTCCTAAAAAGTTGACATGAAAAAGAAAAATCGGCAGAGCTAAATTTCATTGAAGCTTGTAAACTACTTCCCTAGAATTTTGACATTTCGGATGAAATCGATCCTCTATATATACTATTATAAGTATTTAAATCAGCTGTATGATTGATGCAGAACTGAATGCGATACATTTCAAAGATATGGGTAACTAAAAAACCCACAGAAACAAGCTTTTCAATAAAATTGAACATATCTACAGAAATCCTTACATCAATCAGGTTTATATAAACTAACTGATTTTAACCGATTAGATAAAGTCACGTTTTGACACTATGATGTTTGTATGATTCTGAAAAAATCGAAATGTCTGGTCTTCATAACATTTTTCACTGAGTTCAGTATGGTTAAAATGTCCAATGCATTGCAATGATGGTGAAATATAAGTACATGTATTTCTAGGGGCTAAAAGAAATATTTCATTTTTACATTCATGGTTGTGATTTTTAAGGTAACGAATTAACGTATCTGATTTTTAAAGACTGCTTTTATTGAAGAATGCAATTTTCGGCAGTCGGCTACCGGATTTATTTACTCTTTTCAGGGCATCTCATTTGAATATGAAAAGTACCTGCAACTATTCCATAAATGATTTGGTCATAAAATAGTATATTAATCCGGTGGTCGACAGCCGAAAGTTGCATTCGTGAATACAAGTTTAATTTTTCTTTAATGCGCCACGAGATACGGATCAATCTATTTGATGTGAACATTGATTGATTATAAAAACAACTTAAGTATGATGCTAACTTTGAAGATTACCTGAAAGTTATTATGACTTTCACACATTTTAATGAATCTGGTTACTTGATATAGATTAATTCATGAGTTATGAGTACTTACATAATAGATGCAAGGCTTAATCATGCAATGTATCATTTTAAGTTGATTATTTTTGATTTTTACGTTTGAGGCACTCTCCTGATCCTCATCAACAAAAACGTAATTACTAATAATATTTAATTAATAATTAATTTATAATCAACTCAACATGAATGTAAACATCTTTGTTTTTTAATTAAGTATAAGTTTTAAGGATTAAATATAATGTTTGTGTTACTGGTATCTTTATGATCCCAAATTATTTTTCACTTTCTTAAAAAAGATTGCCTGCTAAATAGTCCATTTGTCACTCCTATGCATCCTATAGTGAACCTATGAATTGTTAAAAACACGATATTTTTGGGTTAATTTATGACGATAAGGGTTTCCTGAAGAGATTTAGGCGTTGGACAAAAAGTTAGTTTGGGGAAAAAATAATATAGGCTAATTATTGAAATATTGATTGTTTTCTATATCTTGAAATGTAAAAATGAAAGCAGCAGAATTAATTTGTCTAAACTTGTGTTTTCAGGGTTAATGAATAAGATATTGTTAAAATATACAAGAATAACCATGGCCGTCAGATGGGGGGGGGGGCGCACCCCCCCTCTGACAACCCCAATGGGGGAATTTTTTTTTTGAAAAATATTATTCTTTTAATTTTTTTTCCATTGACTCATACACTTTGAAAGTGCCCAGAAAGCACCAAATAGCATCTTAAAATTGTAAAATTTTCTAGGGGGAGTGGGCCACCCCTCACAACCCCCACACAAAAAATTGAAAAGCTCTGAATTTATTATGTATTGTCTCAGACACTTTTAAAGTGCCCAGACATCATCAAATAGCTCCTTGATATAGTCAATGTTTCTGGGGACTAACACTTGCTCCCCCTCTGGCATCCTCATCCCACCTTCCCTTCGCCCCCCCCCAAAAAAAGAATTATGATTTAATCTTTTTTATTGACTCATACACTTCAAAAGTGCCCAGAAAGAACCAAATAGCATCTTAAAATTATAAAATTTTCTACGGAAGTAGGCAACCCCTCACATTCCCCACAAAACAATTGACAGAAATTCTGAATTTATTTCATGTATTGTCTCAGTTCAGGTGCCCAGACTTCATCAAATAACACCTTTATATGGTCAATGTTTCTGGGGGACAGATATGGGGGAAAAACACTTGCTCCCCCCTTACCCCAACCCTACCTCCCCCTTTGACACCCCCACAATTTGAAAAAAATTGTTGTTCATTTCTTTTATTGACTCATACATTTTAAAAGTGAACAGAAAGCACCAAATAATTATCATCTTAAAATTGTAAAATTTTCTAGGAAAGTTGGTCACCCATCACATCCCCCATAAAACGATTAAAAAAATATGAATCTCTTGTATTATCTCAGACACTTTTAAAGTGCTCGGACATCATCAAATAGCACCTTGAAATGGTCAATGTTTCTGAGGGAAAACCCCTTACTCCCCCTCTGGTATCCTCACCCCACTTCACCCTTTTATCCTCTTTGACACCCCCCCAAAAATTTATTTTTTATTGACTCATACACTTTGAAAGTGAAAGTAGGGAGGCACTCTCAGAATTAATCAGACAGCATCTTGAATTAGTAAAATTTTCCTGTGCTGCCCACTCGCTCCTCTAAGAAGAAAATGATTAAAAAATCAGAATTTCTTTAAATTGATTCTATTGCCTTCTAGCACACCCTCCCCCTATTCCAATGTTTCTCCAAATTACTCATACAATATTTAGTCTAAAAACAATATGAAGATAATAAAATACTACAAAATAGACTTACGCGCTTTGATTTAGGCGGAAAAAATGACAATTTTATTTTCTCTTCATTAAAAACCGCACCCCCTTGGAGAAAAATGTCTTACAGGCCTGATAACTTATAAGATAGAGTGCATAATTGCAACTTAGCATATTTTATGATTGAAATATCGCATTTATTCAGATATTTTCTATATCAAGCTTGTAATACATCGAAAATTACTGACTAATTAACTAATTAAGGGTTTCTTTACTGATTTAATTGGGTTGCCAAAAAACAACTAATTTCTAACATATCTTAGAAAGGAAAAATGATAGCCCTGGGACCTGGAGACCCATGTTTTTAGCTTCAATGAATAAGACAATGTTAAAATATACAAAAATAACTTATCAGATAGTGTACATATTATATAATATGCATGTTTAGCAGATATCAAACGTTTTGTATGATGAAATTAGATGTGTGTCATCACCAAAAGTGACAAAGAAATCAATAAATTACTTGATTTATGCAGGTGTTTGATGTATAGAAAAATAATATAACATGAAACAGATCCCTGAATCACACCATGTGTAATTAATGAAGTATGGTTGGATGAGACAATGTGTTGGTGTTCTTAGCTATTATGCCATGTTACCACTATTCCACAGTTGATTTCATCGTTTGTAAGTTTATTACAAAATAGTATGGTCAATTGAGTCAAAGGCTTTCAAAAATCGCTTTTATATCATGGACATCTTCATTTGCATATATAATTTTTTCCCCAAGGTTGCCCTTTGTCCAACCCAGCTAAATCACTTCATAAAACCCTTATGATAGTGATTCCACATTAAAACATCGTGTTTTTACAGATTCAAAGGTTCAGAAAATGACACATCGACTAAAATGGTATGTGAGATAATAGCCTTTTTAAAAACAAAATAGTCAGCGATGAATACATCCCTTTTACTTAGAATTAAATCAAAGGCAATTATGTGTACTTTTCCCACTGCACAAAACATTCTGGCCAAGGAGAGAGGAGACAATATCGAATATCTTTTTTCTTGTCTATGATAGCAATGCCGAGTTTATAAGTATAACGTATCATGATCTATAGCCTGTTTGTTCCTTATAATAGATAATGATGTCATAACAACAATATTTCATTGTCGCTTGTGGATAATAATTCTGATAATTATGACTGATTGTCTAAATTGAATTGTTACGATCTCTTGAGGTACCGCAAGTTGTATTCTTGCCGAGCCGAATTAACTATATTCGACAGGGGTTATACAAAAATAACATGGTGATATAATCACGCGGTCCTAACTCACCGGGTCGTATCGAAACCAAAACGCCCCGCAAAACCGTTAATTTGAATTTCAAACCTACCCTTTCTTTGGAAAATCAATGATTGTGAGTCTCACAGTACACCGTTTTTTCTTCAAACTTGTTCCATTAAAACCTTCACAGATATACCTTTCACTCGAGACATTGTTTTTGAGTACAGAGTATCCACGAGACTATGAAACTTCAAACTATACAGTATTTATACGTCAACTCAGTTACCTTAGTAAAGTAGTCAAAACATGCCGAACTCATTTCGATCAACCAAGATCATGACTGAAATCACGATCAATCAAACTATGTCTGACATTTAAATCCATCAATACTATCCCCAAGGCCAATTTTGGCCATCTTTCTTTGCCGTTATTTGCAAAGTAAGTCAAAAATTGATTACTTCCATTTAATTGATTATTCTCATCATCTTTGAAGTGACGTCTAATGATACCTCCGGGATAATGCAGTAAGGTAGACGTGAAATGAATTGTTTTTCATTTTAATGCCGGGATGTCTTAACCCAGGGGTCTTAACCCTGAAGCCTACTTTGAAAAAACGAGTGTAGCTTCGTCATATTTGATCATTGTTATTTTAAACACCCGACACTGTCGCTCTACAGAGATTTTTGAAGTATCAATTTCTTGCGAATTGAAAATGCATAGATATAAGGGTTATGTACTGGGAGGTTTTAGATATGGGGTTTATCCACAGGGAGATATAGAAATTATCCTATATGAGGTTCAGGATATTGGCCAATATAATTATTATATTGGCCTCGGGATAATCCCAATATCCTGAACCGACTATAGGATAATATGTTTATCCCATACCAATCTTGGTCATCTGGTTCACATTGTTCAATCGTGGAAATATTTTAGAATATCCATGTCCAGTTTTGTTTTCTTGGCCGTGGGCGGATTTTCCTGTTCTCTCAAATATTCCCACATTTATTTTCTCGAAATTTTTGATTGATTAAGTGGATGCTCATTCCCTTTTTTAAACCATCAAACAGATCCCGATAGTCTGTGTTTTCTCCATTGTCGTTTACAGTCATTACGCGAACGTTACAAATTATGAACAAATATGCTAGCGGCGATTATGACGTAGCGGGCAGATATACTATAGAGAGGTTAAGCAACACCACTTTTTACAACGTAAACCGCGAACGGGAAGGCGCGCGCAGGTTTTTCTCAGGATGTGACGTCATATTGTTCTACTTATTTCCCGGTTTACGTACATCCAAACGTGAAAAATCAAAGTCTAAGTAGGTCGTTCCGTAAAGGATTTTTCATACTTTATCAAGTTCGATTGAGATAAATATGATATAGGTCGAATACATAAATATGTTTGACACAAATTTGTGTATATATCGAGATCATTTGTGTCCAATCTAATCAAATATAACTTGAATATTGATGCACCCATTCCATATGTAAAATCAGATGAGATTACATGCAATTGCAATTATCACATGTCAACTCATCCTAATTCTTTATACATATTGTGATACCATACTAATAAAACTATGAATGCTTTGAAGACTTGTTTTAAAGATATTATTGCGTCCAGTTGTATTTTGTAAGATTCAAGATGTCATAGAACGCTACCAGGGTGTGAAACATCTCCTTTGTTAACACTTCAATTTGTCAATAAAGTAATATTTTTTACACTTTTAAAGTAGAAAATAAAAGAAAGGCCGCTAAGAAAAAGAAAAAAATCATTTTGAGGTTTGCGTTTGCGTTACGTCTAAAGTGCTCAGCTTAAAGCACTTTTGTTCATAGTACGTAAACGGGAACGTAAAGGTTTACGTTTGCGGTTCGCGTCATAAAAAATCGTCTTGCTTAACCTCTCTAATATCTGCCCGCTCGGAGCGGGACGTAAAGCTATATCTGCCCGCTGATGAAAATATAAGATTTTACAAACCGGCTTTATGTACCTGTAACACGTCCAAGTATGGGATAAATAAGGGTTATGTACTGGGAGGTTTTGGATACAGGTTTATCCCACGGGAAATATGTGTATCTCACGAGGGACCGCAGGGACCCCTGGAGGATATTTCCCGCGGGATAAACACTGTATCCACAACCGACCGTACATAACTGGTGTATCTCATACTTGAGTGGGTTTGGGGAAGATATAACCTTTACCATCTTTTTCAAATGACAAGATAGGCCTATACTGTTAAAGCACAATTTATATTTAACATTTTCATAATATTCCTTCAGCTCAATACAATAGAATTGTAACATTTAAACTTTTTGAAAAATTTTAAACTTTTGAAATTTAAATTTTTAAATTTTTTAAACTTTTGAAAATTCCCGGGAGCGGGATGGATATATTATATCTGCCCGCATTTGGCCTAGAGCGGGACATATACAATATATCCTGCCCGCTCCTTAGATATGATATATATTCCCGGGTGATAGCTACCCCAAACCCACTCAAGTATGAAATACATGCATATATCTACCTGAGGGACCGTAGGGACCGAAGGTAGATGTGCATATCTCACGAGGGATGAACCCAATATCCAAACCGACCGTACATAACTGCTTTATCCTATACCAAGTAAAGTTTTCTAATTTTCTTTCAATTTTATTTTCATTTTTTCAAATTGTTTTCACATTTTTCTATTTTTTTCTATTTTTTCTATTTTTTTCATTTTCAATTTTTTCACATTTTTTTCAATTTTTTTTTATTTTTTCACATTTTTTTTTCGAAGCGGGAAGATACGCCCTGGAGCGGGAGATATGGCGGGGGATATGGAGGTTCAGGAAATGGAAACCTCAAAATCAGGATAAGGGATATATCTTACCAACTTATCTCCCTAAAACTCTACTTGGCATAGGATAAAGCCATTTATACCATTACTAGAGCAATACGATTTCATTTGAAATAGAGAAATGAATACAACGTGGATAATGTGTTTTTTTAAAGATGTTATAAAATGGCATTTGGAATCTCTAATTTGCTCGTACTTAGCAATCACTAAATGTTGTTATTTTTGCGGACATTTTGGAGTCATGTGACCATTACAGTTTTGATGTAGAGTTGGACTAAGTAATTCTGGCGCAAAAGTAGGTAGGAAAGTATCCCAACAAATTTTGGACAGTCATATGTTGGATTTGGGCTATTTTCTGAGGATTTTAACAGGTACATATGTTAGGCCAATGCATTATCTCCAGGAAAAGCACTCATAGAGATGATAAAATAATTTCGATTTTTGAAACAGGTGAGATGCAAACAACCCACCCACATGTTTTCTCTAAAATGTTGTCCTGACTATCAACCCCTTCCACCCCTGCTTTTTCCAATTTCTTTGCATCAATATGCTGCATTTTTAGACACAGTTAACCCCTTTAAAGGAATACGTGATTCATTTTCGATAAAGTGGAAACCAATATTCTCCATGTTAGTATTCCAGAGGAAAAACTCAAAGCAACTAAAATCCATTGCTTTCAGCTAATTTTGGTCAACTATAATGGGTATTTTTAAAACCCCTGGAGGAATTAATTAAGTTTAATTATGTGTCAAAACGCAACATATTAATGCAACAAAAATTGGAAAAGCAGGGGTGAAAGAGGTTGAAAATCAGGACAACATTTCAGAAAGAACATGGGGTCGGGTTGTTTGCATCTTCCCTGGTCGTGAATTACGGTCATCGGCTGAACCAAAGTAGAAATATGCATTTGTATCACATTCGCACGCATTTATAGAACATTTCAATCGATTGCATTTCAGTCCGGGAAGAATCGTTAAAAATCCTATATGCGTTACTGAAGAATTATGATTGTATAACTTACATGCTTTTAAATATCCAATGCTTACATCCAATGCTTACATGAAAGTTTGGTCAACTTTTGAATTTAGCTGTTCTTCACACTGAAAAAGAATATGTATTTACAGGGTTATTTACAGAATATGTATATACTGGATTTTATCTATCCCACATCATTTGAGACTGAATGCTCTATCTTGTATGAGTACTTGTATCTACAACTATTTTTGAGGTTATGAGTATTGGCTATCAATTGGCTATCAATTTCTAATTTTTTTTGTATCTAATTGATAGCCAATATCACAATCCAAGACAAGAAGACCAATTGTAATGACTTCAGTATGAATGAAATGTCCCTTGGTCTTCTGGTTTTGGATTGTGATATTGGTTCTTGAATGGTCGGGGGGGGGGAGGGGGTATTAGACATTGTTTCTTTTCACGTTAGATCATGGTTTTGGGCTATATGGGGTTTGTTTTTCTTGACTGGTATGCACTTGGAGTTTGCTTTTTTATGTAAACGTTCCTTGAATTATTGCTCTATCTTCATATGTTACTTTTTATGTAAACATTACTTTTATAATATATTCTATTTTTATTCTTGTACTCTTCTTTTATAAGGAGGAAATAAAGATGATACAATACAAAACAATACATTTGACAATCGTGTCACGTGACGTAGCATTTCTGCTCTGGAAATGAAATCCAATTTTCCGCGAAAACACACATGTGGTGATTTTATATCCCCAATATAATGAAAAATGAACATTTTGAAGTGTTTGGGGTTCACCCTCGTAACGAGTGGTGGAAGGTGCATGTTACGTGTATCAAGTTCCAATTTCAGAATGTTTTGTGTTTTATTGATTTTTGAATGTTGTCCTTCATGAATTTGAATTATCTAGTATTTAATATAATTAACCCCTTGGCCTTCTACAAAACTGTGTCTATAAAAAGAATTTAGTCAAACGTTTTGAAATAAAACATATCAAGAGAAAGTTTATGCGATATCGAGTTCCAATTTTAGACGACACCTTGAAACTTAAATTCCAGACATGCAGACATGAACCTTTGTTTTTTGAAAATGTATAGAATTCCAATGTAAGAAAAACACCATCGGGGAGACATTATAATTGCATCCGTTCACTAATACGATTTAGTATTTCTTCGGGGGATTCGGTGTATTGTTCACGACATTCTAATAAAGGCCTTTGTATGGTGAACGGCATTAAACTGTTCAACGTAAGCTATTACATAAAATAGGAGATAGAACATGAGATTCATCAATGACATTCTGTCATCCAACCCATCATCAGAGCTTATTATCCATCAGCGTTCTGGTCAATAATACACCCTCTCCATAAGTTTGGCAACAGGAAATTTCAATTGGATGGCATATTAGCCCATCAGTGTTTGAACCACAATTTTGTCCATAATTACTATAGTTCGAAAATGACTTTGATCGCTAAACATCAATAGAATTTAATGAGTGTTCCAATGAGGGACGTGTAGTTGCAAAACTTATTGAAGGGGTGTCGATTGCATTTTACATATTCGGGTGTCTGAGTTCCCGAGTCGAGTTGTATTACATACCATATCAAATCACACTGATTGCATCGCCTGTTGTCGCCAGTTATTACTGTCTACACAAGGAAATTCCAGTAATTTGTCTTACCTGATCATCACGAAGCTTTATCCTGAATGACGTCTTTTGTCCGTTACAGATCAGGCAGAATCATTATACAATATAACCGGCTTCATTAAAATCAATAACGCGGAAAATGATAGGGGTTACGATATAATAAACATGATCTGGCTTCATAATTGACGTTTGTACTTCTTCTAATGATTTCAAAGTCACATCGGTTCCACAGAAGTATGATACTGTTTATTCGTAACGGGCATGGTTTAATCGAGACTAAACTTAGCATCTCTCTGGTGTGAGATTGTGATATGTTCGCTTGTCAAGTTATCTTTCGAGCTCACCTCTTTTGCGAGTATGAATGGTAAATTGCTATAAAGTAAAAGGTACAAATGCGCCCACAGCAGAAGATAAAATAGACCAAAAAAGAAAACATAAGGTTACTATATGATATATGCCAAACGTGATAAAACATACAAGCGATATTTGTTAATAAGGATTCGAGCTTGATTTAAGCTAAATTCGACTTCGACATAAAAAGAACCTGAATTACAGTTTAGTAACGGAAGAGATATTGAAAACCTGCATTCTACTGTCTGGTACCTTTTCACATTTTATGCAATCGTGAGGTGTCATGACATACATTTGACACGTTAACAAATTACTTTCCTCGTTAAGTATTTGTCTCACCTTTAACATTTCTTAAAGCGTTTTTATGGATTTGCTGTATAAGATAGTGTTAATTTAAAAGATTTGTGCTAGACTAGACGATTAAACCTTTTTTAAAAAACAAACTTTTGACCATTATGTTGCGCATAAAAACTACATCGCTATGTTTATGCTTATCTTATATAACCTCGACCCTTTGACCTTTGTCGTTGCTTGCTTATCTCAAATACACGTCAATGATATCCTTATATAGCTTCTAATTATAAACAAGACAATGCCAAACGGTCATCGAATTGATATGTTATAATCACTATTATTACCACCTTGCCGGGTCAGTTCTAGGGGTTTAAGTGCTCGTTAAGAAGGCATTTATTTTACTATATCGACCTGACGTCATAGTGGCGGTCCATAATGGCAGTCAATAATGCAATTAATGACCAACAATTTTCCCCGGGAAACTTAGATATCGTTCAGTGCGTAAGATTTTCTTGCTATTTCAGGCCTGGTCATTAACGGTGCTAATAATACTAATAACGTCATTTCTGCGGGCAATATAGTGCAATAATGGACCGAGGGCTATTATTGAGCTGTTGTTTTTTAAAATGAACCAATTATTACAAGCAACGTTTACTTACCTCGAAATCTTGAAATAATGGCCAAAAGTCCAAAAGAGGACAGTATCTAGCCATAGATGTTCATTTTTCACAGATTCATTCGAAGTCAATTCATATGTCGAAGTGAATCCAATAATGTATTACCTTACGTTTTGAGTAGCTAGGTAGTTGCCTTGCCTCTATGTTTCTGATTACACCCCTTAATAAACACTATATTGGTTGTACCATGAGCAGCTTAGAAATACGAGGTCGATGTGTTAGCCTAATCCTACATTGCTAACGTCTTCGATAAATCCTCTAAATTAAATTAATTTCTTAAAAGACAGATCGGCTCTTCGTGTACAACCTCTAATGCAAAGCACATGCGTGAGTGAAGAACATCTTGATTGGATTTCGGGTGTAATCAGCTGTAATGATATCTGATGTGAATTGATGTGGAGTCAACAACAAGTGGCAAATGACACATTCGTTAGTATAAAATGTATTATTATGCACCTCATTAAAATACTCAAATCTGTTTGGTTAAGAGCTGCAGGGTCTATTGCCATACGTGGCAGCAAGATCTCGTTCTATCCAGTATTGAAGCAACGAGATCTCCAAACACCCCGTATGCCAGAATATCTATCCTCGAAAAAAATACTACTCGGCTTCTGTTTTAGTAGACATTCTTTACAATAAAGTATTTCTTCACAATTTAACACCATCTTTTATTTATCTACTGTAAATTAATGGTAGGAATGTTATATTATCCAAGGGAGGTACATAATAAAATATAGGTTGTTCAATTATGTAATCATAAGATAATAAACTTCCAATTTTCTATGACCTTCCTACTGGTTGTCATCAATTTTTTCTTCTTTTTTTTATCTATAATCCTACTAAGGGTAATAACCACATTTTGATGCTGAAAATGAAAAATATCTTAAAATAGTTTTCATTTTTTTATTTAGAAGATTTTGTCTTTTGTTATTTAAAGAACTAAATAATATCTACTTATTGTTAAAATTGATGCACCCGTGGAAAGAGAGGTGTTCAAAAATATACGAAGACAAAAAATACGTCGGTTATGAAATGTTTGTTTTAAAAAAAAATCTTCTTGATGTGTCTAAACATAGTTCTGGTATAGCGTCCATTTATAAAAATTAAAAATGACTCCTCAGGGGAGATTCTTTTGAAGCAAGTATATTAAAATAAAAATAGATATTTGCTTACACATTCGATAACTTTCATATACTCAAATCGATTGACCTTAGCAAAGCCAAACGAATCAATTGATTAATTATTGTTGGTTCTGCAACAGGCCCCTGTTTCCAATAATTTGCGGACAATAATCAGTGGTTTCAGTAACTTTGTGTACAAGAGGCAGATGAAAAATACAAGAGGCGGCATTCAAAGTAACCAATTTTACGCTCCCGACAATGCAAATTCTGTTTATTTTAGAGTCCATGGACTGAAAGAAAGATGTCCAAGGTTTGTCAAGGTCATTTTCACGTGTGATGTGGCAAGACATGGCCATGGACTCCACAAAAAAACACCTGGAACTGTGGAATGACTAGGGCAACTTATATAGAATGTCATTTACCTTTTATAAGATAACTTACCCTTACACAGGTTGCATTTCACAAATCCAAATGCACCTGTTGAATTGAGCACTTTTGATATAAATCAAAATCTAGAATTGTCATTATTAAAATGAGAGTGATGTATTAATAGATGATTCACTTGTGATTATGTGAATATCAGATTCATTTTAGTTTTTTACCACCTCCAGAGGGTACAGGGTGTTCCAAAAGTAACAGGACTGGTGCTGGTATTTTGTTAAATATACACCAATTTTCTTCAAAATTTTACATAATGTACCTTCATGTTTTGTAGCTAAAATTGCCAAATTACATAATTTTTGTCGAAACTGATTTAGAAACTAGCCGATGACTACTCATCGGCCGGCGCCCGGCGCATATGTGGCCTAGGCATTAGAGAGAGACCGAGGTGGGAGGTATCCCCCTCCCCTCTACACCAAACTTGTTCTCACTACGTTTTCGAAAATTGCCTGAAAGGCCTCCTCACACATTATTAAGGAAAACATATCTACACATTTTGCGCATTTAACCATTTGATAACATGTTGTGGATCTTATCTTAATTTGTTAATGTGAATTCGCACCTCCATTTGCATGGAAGACTTG